TCTTAGTCTTGTCTCTAGCTTGGTGAGCAGGGCATTTTTCTGAAAGGTAGAATATGTGGATTTGAACTCCCCCAGGCAAAAGAGGGCTTAGAAACCAAATCTTTCCTTTCCTGAGTGAGTGTCTTTTTTAATTCTAAAAAAGGCAGTTGGTAGTGGTGTCCCCAAGGTTAGGCAGAGACATTAAAAAAGCCCGGGGTGGAATTGGTCTAAGTTCCATCCCTTCGGCGCAGTACAGTTGAGCATTATTCTTCCTAAATCCATTTTGGATCTAGCCCTTAATGCCACTCGTGCTCTGAGATGCACAGTTAATTGTGTTGGTTTCAGCGATGGTTCTATGGGAGTACGGTGAGCAGTGGAGAACATGGATCATAATTTTGAAACGAAAATGAGGAAACAACAAAAATATTAGTTATGAAATTAGATGCTGCTTAATAAAAAGAATTCAAAAATGTACTGATATCTTGGTTAAAGCAGAGATGGCACAGAGCTTCAAATTTCAGCTCCAATCCTCAGATATGGTTAGAGATTAAGTTTGATATGGGCTTATCTCTAAATGGTTTCTTAAAACACAAGTTTATTCTATTAAAAGAAATATTGCAGGAATTTTGGGGATAAGACTGAAGAAAATCAAAGCCACCCACAGGATTTCTTCGCAGTAAAATCATTTTTACCAACCAAAGCTGGGGAAGGAAGGTTCATATTTTATTCCTCATCGTATTAAAAGCATCTTCATTTACTTGATCTAATCCGTGGTTATAATTGCTTTAACTATATCATGTTACACATATTGGTACTGTTAAGAATAGATTTTTTTCTCACAAATATCACCATGCATGAATCTGTAACACTAATCTGTTACTTTGTGTGTTGCTGTTTGCAGTCACCTCAGTTGCTCTCTCCAACACCTACTGAGGTAATCCCCAATGCCTTTGTTCTCCTATTCTGATCCATTTCACAATGCATTAAACTTGTTCATAAAAATAACCATTGGACTCTGAAATGTTGGGGTTTGCCTCCTGCCTCTTGCAGAGCCTGGGGTCTTTATAAAAATGTTTTAGTTCTGTAACTTCTATCAGATAACTGCTCTGTTTTTGAATGAGTCTGTTTCACTGACTGCCATCTCATTTCTGCTTCACGAAAAAGGTTAGACTTTCATCATTTTTTTTCAAATTGTTCCAAAAAAGAAAAAAAATGCATTCTAATTTGTAATCTACTATTTGGATTTAAAACTAACATCTTCAGATGACCTAGGTTAGTGCTTGGCATGACTTGGCATAACTATCCCACAGTTGAACTGCTTGTATATACCTATAGTTCAATTGCTTATGATTATACATACTGTTGAGGCCAGGTTGTCAGTTTGTCTGTAACTCCACTGACTTTAATTGAGCCTATAACAATACCCAGGTTTGTCATTGTTAAAGATGCCATTTCAGGATGCACCAATTTGGAAACGATGCAACTATGTACAGGAGCAATGCTTCTTAGATTGTAAAGGTAGAAAATAATATATAAATATCATAGGCCTGATTCATTACTCTGTTACATGAGTTATATTAGTGTAACTGCTTTAAATTCAGTGAAGTATATCCATTTTTTTTAAATGTGTAACAGCGTGAAGATTGAAGGGTAGTAATCCATATATGGTTTTCCTTAAATATTACATATTGCAACTGCTGTTAAAAATGTTGGTTAAATCTGACAAGTAGATAGTTAACAACTAGGGACTAAAAATACTATTCACCATATCTGTCCACCTATCACACACCCCCAAATAAGACATGCACCTTGCTTTTGGAAGGCAGAATGTGAAAAAGAAATTTGTTCTAGCCACATGGTTAACTGTGTGACATGAAGTAAGTCCTCCTGCAAACATAGAGGGCACCTGTACACATGCAGAGAGGCTGGTCCAACACACTCAAATTACAGTGCATCAGAGCAGACTCCATTAATCAAGTCTGCTGGAGCGTGGTAATTACCTCACTCCAGCAGGCTCCAGAGTCACGTGTATCAGTGTCTCCCCTGGGGATGCTGATACACGTGACACTCCGGGCACTTTAATTAGAGCAGCTCTTGGATAAATATGTGTATAAATACCCAGAGTAATCAGGAAGTGTGACATCCCAGAAAACAATCCAGGAGACACAATAGGATCTTCTTGGTGTAGTGAAACAGCAAGAAGACTAGGTAGGCCCCAGATTCTTGCAAGGGCAGTAGCTGGACTGTTACTTCTTTACTGTAAATACCCATAGTTCCTTATATAAGTTCCTGTAAATAATAAAGTGTTGTTGTCCACACCACAATTCTTAAATTACATGCATAGCTTGCCCCGGACCATTTCAGGTGCAAGCTGCAGTTTTCAGCCAATAGTGATGGCAACTGTGAGAGGGATAACACAG